TGGAGATAATAATAAAGAATGTGTCTTGTAATTCCCAGAAACAAACAGGGTACACACATGAGCATAAATATCCCAAAATGCTGAGCAGAAAAAAAGAACATATTTTCCTGTGAGGACCATGACACCTTTAAATCCATCAGTGGCAAGGGATCAAGTAACTGGAAACTAAAAAAGGTAGCAGGAGATCCATTAATAAATCATGTTTAATTAAAAGAGGGAAGAAAATGAATGAGGGAATGAAAAACACAGCTCAAATAAACCTACCTTGGGCACTATAGTTTGTATTCTTGCATAGGAGCTTCAGTAACAGGGCAAAAGAAGTAAATTTCTTGCACTAATATGTTAAACACACATACGAATTCACATAGTTACTCCAACTGTGAAAGTAATCCAAAAAAATGTGTATGTCTGTATGTACATACATGCACACACAGTGGGTTCCCTTTAAACTGGCAGTGACTACAGACCATATAGGAGCACAACTGTTGTAACAGGATCAAAGTAAGAAAATGATGTAAATTCCTTACTGAGCTATTGATCACTGAATCATCTCAGTATGGAGGTAAATGGCAAATGCTCTGATCCAGTCAAAAAGAAGCGCTGCTTGGGAAAAGATCCTCTGCCAGTCAGGTTCACAGCATGAAATCACTGCCATGAGAAGCTCTCATGCAACTCTACCCTTAGGTATCCCTCACGCTCAAATCTACATTATATGGCCAAAGGTTTGTGGGAAACTGACCATTCTACCTACTGTACATAAGCTTGTCCCATTCCAAAACCATGGGCATTAATATAGAGTTGCACTCCCAACCCTTTGCAGCTATGACACCTTGCATATGACATTCTAAATCTGAGGAAGATTTCTGGAAAGGCTTTCCACAGGATGTCAATATATTTCTGTGATAATATGTGCCCATTTGTGAGGTCAGCGTCTAATGCTAGATGAGATGATCTGGCTTGCAATTGGAGTTCCAAGGCATCCCAAAGTTGTTTGTTATGGTTGAGGTTGGGGCTCTGTGCAGGCCACTCAAGTTCCTTCACGGCAAAATCATCAAACCATGTTTTTTTGACCCTGGATAATGTACAGGGGCACAGTCATGCTGGAATGGTATAGGGTTTATAATAAACAGAGAGCAAGTAACTACAGGAGTAATTAATACAAGAAGGGAAAGAGGGCTCACTCCAGTCAATCTAAATCAGTGATAGATCAAAGTACCCAGGTCAGACAAATAAATGAGTTGGGCTTCAGGAATGAGCAAAACTAAAATTCAAACCACTAGTACCTAACTAAAATGTATGTACACGAATGCTACAAGCCTAGCAAAGAAATTGGAGGAGCTTGAACTTCTGCTACTCGAAAAGGACTTCGTTATAGTGGGAATAACAGAAACTTGGCTAGACAGCTCACATGACTGGACAACTAATGTACAAGGGTACAACCTGTTTAGGAGGGACAGGGTGGGTAGAAGGGGTGGAGGGGTATGCATGTATGTAAAAAACAATCCAACTGTGCACATACAAGATGACCTCACGACAGTTACGTTGGTGGCTTTGTGGGTAGAACTAGAGAAGACTGAAGCTAGTTGTAAACTAATTGTGGGTGTGCGTTATAAACCTCCGAACATAAGGGATGAGGAGGAGGCTCACCTACATTTCCAAATAGAAATAGCTGGGAAGCAGGGAAATGTTGTTATAATGGGTGACTTCGTGATTGGTCAAATGAAACCGCTCATTCCATAAAGGCTGGCCGTTTCCTAAACCTGTTATGGGACAATTTCATTAATCAGATGGTTGATGTCCCAACCAGGAAGAATGCTACACTAGATTTATTCATTTCCAATAATGCAGATCTAGGTGAAGACATAGCAATTAGAGATACATTGGATAATAATGATCACTTTTAATGTTGGGTACAGAAAAGAGAAGTGTGTTGGTTTGACAAGAACGATAGATTTCAAAAAAGCAAAATTCGATAAGTTGCGTCATCTGGTGTATGACACTAAATGGGACAAATTATTTCTAAGAATGAACGCTGACAAAAAGTTGGATTGTTTTAAGAATATATTGCCATTAGCAGGTGCATATCACTGGGTAACAAAAATCAAAGCTCAAGAGCTAAGCCTGCATGGCTAAATAAAATGGTAAGACAACATATCAAAAAGCTGGCAGTTAAAAAATATAAGGCTGGAGTGGACTGCATTGGCATTCCAGACCTACAAGGAATGCAATAGGAGATGTAAACGTGAAATGTGGGCAGCTAAAATAGATTACGAAAAGCATATCACCGAAGTCTGTAAGAAGAGCCCCCAAAAATTCTTCAAGTATATAAACAGTAAAAAAGGTAAGAAAAGAGCAGGTAGGCCCAATAAAAGATGAGAATGGGAGATTAATCACAAACGACCGGGAGAAGGCTGAGGTATTAAATTCAGTATACACTCAAGAAAAAGACGGGTTTAATGGCGTTAAGAATGTGAGTACCTTAATGCATAAGATACCGCAGTGGTTGACGGTAGCCGGGGTTCAACAAAGACTTGAAAAACTCAATGCAAATAAATCGTTAGGACCTGCACCCTAGAGTACTTAATTGGAAAAAGATTTGGGGGTCATAGTAGACCACAGATTGAATAAAAGCTAGCAGAGTACAGTCATGCATTAAAAAGGGAATGTAAGACAAACCAATAAATCTGCCACTTTATAGATCACTGGTTCGGCCACATCTCGAGTATGCGGCTCAATTTGGGTCAGCAATCCACAGAAAGGATGTCCTTGAGCTGGAGATAGTCCAGAGAAGGGCAACAAAACTAATTAAGGGGCTGGAGGATCAAAACTCTGAGACACGGTTGCTAAATTTAAAATTTGTTCAGTGATAAGATTAAGGGGACATTATTTTGATGTACAAAATGTTTAGTGGTGATGGCAACATCAGCAATTACCTTTTTACTGCGAACTCCCTAACAAAGACTAGAGGCCCACGCCTAAAATTGGTGGAAAAAAAAAGATTTAAACAAAACAGGACGTTGGGGCTTCTTTTCAGTCAGAGAAGTTAAACTTTGGAACTCTGTCACAAGCAGTGGCATCAGCAGAGAGTATCGATTCATTAAAAAATCAATGAGATACCGTCCTAAGAGACCGTAACACACAGAGGTACAGGTACTCTTATAAACTGAGACCACACAGGGACTCATATACACACGCTAGCACGCACAAACACACACAGACACACAAAGGTTGAACTTGATGGACCTGTGTCCTTATTCAACCTCTAATACTATGTAACAGGGGCACAGTCATGCTGGAACAGTATAGGGTCTTTTCCATACTGTTTTTTACAAGGTTAGAAGTGCATGATTGTCTAAAATGTATTTGCATGCTATGGCATTAACAGCACTCTTTGCTTGACACACCTGAACACAATAATTTGGATGGGCGTCAACATACTTTTGTCAATGCCTCTTCTTAATTAGATATGCCCCTAAAAAGTTGAACATGAGAATGGGGTTTTTCTCTTTAGGAATAGTACAGATACCTTAAATTTAATAGGCTGCTTTGTGTTACAGCTCTTGGCAGGAGGATTGCCCACTGAGCTGCAATAGTGTTGTGTTTAAAAATAACCACACTGAAATAGTGTTGGCTGTACAGCACGTCTGCAGACACATAAGGTAATTATTATTTTTTTAACATTCTAACAACTACCTTTAGTTTTGCTTTCATTCATTGACCTGTACTAAACATCTACAACACTGTAAATGACATAGCCCTAGTCACTGAATAATAGCATTTGGATTACGTGATCAGGCAGCTTCCCTTTAATATTTTACATTACTTTACCCATTTCAGTCAACAAATTCTTCAGTGACGTCACTAGTAATTATGCAAGTAACAGATGACTGCTTCCACCACATATAATGATAATAAAAAAAAAACAATAATGCTTAATTCAGCAAAACCAAACCGGCTGCATTTTCAAAACCATTCAAACACATGCTCTCTTTTCTTTCCCAATATCTGCTCTGTAATTGTATTTTGACCATTAATAGCTGTAACGAGCAATATATTTTTTCTGTGTAACCTATATTATTACAAAAAATGTGTTGTGACTTTACTAGTGATCAAGTACATAAAATCAGGATCATTACGTAAATGTATTAAACTTTACACTTAATACAATTTTGTTCAAGAGCCCTCATATTTAGTTATACAGCTTTACTGACTTCTGCTTTCTCTGAGCAGACCCAAACCCCCAAAAATAAAAACCTGAAATACAAGGTGGTCCTTGTCCATAAAGCGCTGCCATGCACTCTATTCCTAGAGGGTCGTTACAGACATGGTAAACAGCTTTTCATGAATAAACACTCAATTAGCAGTTTTGCCATGTACACGGTGCTGAACACAAATAACCCTTTCATCTCTTGTTGCGACCGTGTTAACAGAATTTCTGCTATCTGTGAATGTCCCCTATTTGTTTAAATATGGCAAACCTCCCTAGTTATTCATTTTATTAGTATCCAACATGTTATCAAGGCACCTCAGGGTTTAGAGATCCCTTCTTCATCTACAAGGGCAGCCAAAATCAAACTGCAGTATGTTGATCAATGCTGCCTTACATGCTACAGCATGTCCACTGTGGTAAACTAAAAGAATATAACATGCTGCAGTTTTGGAGTTGACGTCTTTTTACAGGAATATATTGCAACACCATACGATGACTTTTTTCCAAAGTTTCTTAGCACAAAAGCCCTTAATTTAACAGGCACAAGCATGCGGATGCTTGTAAAATACCTGTGTTTACTGTACTACAGTCAAAGATGTACATAAACCTGCATAATAACCATGTCTGGACCATTTATTAGGCCCATCTTTTTTTATATCATGTAGTGAACAGAGTTGCTGGTAATGTTTTTGTCATTCACAAACGCACAAAAGAGAATGTGAAGTATCTTACTGCATCACCAATGACTTACAAATATTAACACTAATTCTCCCAGCCAGCCCATTCTTACCGGTGTTTTTTGCCATTTGATGTGGCCTCTGCTCCACTGGGCTTTTTGTCATCAGACATGCTGCCCTTATTACAGCTGAAGCTTAAATCCAAACTCTGTTCTGCAGAAGAATTTCCAACTGTCTCAAATCCACTCAAGGAATGATCAGACTCTGAATCTAAAAGAAGCACAACTGTGTTAATGAAATACACACTCCCATCCGCACTGTAACAACTGAAAACTTCTCACATTCGCAGAGTACTGAAACCCGAGCAGGCTACTTTGTTATGTTGACAAGCTCCATCCACTAACAGATGCATCACTGCCTGGATCTTCATGAGTTACACTGGGAAACAAAGGCACACTGAGCCATTTTAATTTATTCCCCATCACTTTAAAGTAGAGCTAATAAAGATGCTCAGCATGCATATCGTTAGTTGTGAATTTCGTTGTTGACAGGTCTCATAAGACTAAATGGATTACATAGTGAAAGAACCTTAATACAGAAAGCATTGGCATGATTGTTTTTGGAGATCGATTCACATTAAGCATGGACTCTTCGCTGGTCATGCATGATTTTCACTCTCTCGCAGAGCTACACTGGACACAAAATATTCTGCAACCTACCAGCCACTACATCGCTGCTGTGTTCATGCTGAGTTGTAATACTGTAGTGCCTAGTGGCTGGGAGCACAGAGTGCACCCAAAGTGTAGGATGCTAAGATTTTTTGGTGTAGCTCTGCAAAGGATCCAAGATAGGCAGAAGAGTTGGGGGAACATATAAGCATGATCTCTCTCTTACGGGGTGCTTTTTTTGGCCAAGGTGTTACTAAACTTTACAATAAGGTAAGCCTGTGGTGACCGCTTTAAAACATTTCATTATTTGCATGAATGCTGTCTGCAGCTTGCACGTGTTAACAATGTAGGGGCAGCTACCTGTTTGAATATGTTCAGTGCCAAGAATGCAGTGGACTAAAGCATACTGACTGCATTTCTGTAAAAGGGGCAACAGACCACCAACTGCTGGAGGAAGGCCAGGGGTGTCCCGCGGCTGGGTGCCACCCGGAACGGAGACCAGGTGACACCCCGCTGTGATGTCATTGTGCATGATGTCACCACACGCTTGCGCAATGACGTCATCGTGCATGCGCGACCATCTGACGTCTGCCGGTGATGGACGCTGGCAGAGAGAGGAGGGGGTGTTCACCAGGCGGAATGAGGTATGCCGTCGTGTCCCCTCCTCTCTCATGACACTGTTGGGCTCTCGGTCCGTGACCGAGTGCCCGACTTTTTAGAGGGGGTGACACCAAAATGACGGTCACCCCCCCGCACTCCCCTTGTGACGCCACTGAGGAAGGCATAGTTTTAGCTCAGGACCCATCAAGAGAAATATTGCAGAATAGCTGAAGAATCCTAGCATGTAAACAGTTGCAGTCTGACTTTAAAGCAAGCTAATAATAAAAGGTATCATGATTAGGGCACTGGTGCACTAGGAATCGTAAACTCCGGGTCTTGCAGAGCAGTATATTGTGACTGAATTAGGAATGTGCAGGGATACAGGTCTCTGGAAATGCAGGGACAGTGTGACCGCCTGGTCTTCATCAGAGCCACTGATGGTGTGGATGTTGAGCTGCGGGGACCTTAGTCTTGCGATGGTTGTAAAGTAATTAAAAAAACTTACGATCTACCCATCCTGGCAGATCGTACTTGCGATCATCGCAAGCCCGCCCCCCTGTGGGTCGGCTTCCGATGACCGCAATGCTGAACGGGCAGTGTGCGTGTGTGCACAGCGGCCCGTTCGGCATTTATTTCCCGAGCATCATTTAAACCAGCCAAAAATCATAAGATTTTCGGCTGGTTTTCTAGCATGCTCCTCAGACAAAAGACGTGCGACCATACAGTAGAATCGGTCGCACGTCTTCATTCACACTGCACGATTCTCGTACGAGAATCGTGCAGTGTATGGGCACCTTAAGTCTGGGCAAGTAAAGGTCTGGGCAAAAGTACACAAAAATACCTGTTGACCTGTTGTGTTCTTAACTTACTGTTTGAGCTGACATCAAAGGGCCTTTTCCCCATTGAAATTCCAAGAAGTGTTTCCAGTCCTGCCCAGTTATTCTCTGCTGAACTACAGAATGCTGCCCACTCATCTCTATAACATAGGAGGACAGAGATTTAGTGAGGTTGTCAGCTCAAACAGGAAGTCAGGAGCACACCAGCTTTCTAGCAGATCAACAAGTATTTTTTCTCTACTTGTGTATCACTCCTGTGTATTTAAAGGGATACACCTACACCAATAAAAACTTTCCCACAACTAACAAAAAACTAAATGTCTAAAATTGAATTTTAATATTAAATAGTGATGACTTGCTCATGTCCAATGTTTTCACTCATGCTCCAACTTATTATCCCTGGTTTGTTTGTTGCGAGTCTAAAGCAGATCACACACGGTACAATTTTTGTTGTCCAAACTCCTTTTGATCTACTAAGAACTTTGCAGTGCAAAGGTTGCCGATCTCGCTCACCTACCAGGTATGTGTGTTAGACATTCATGAGCTTTTATTTCAATACCATAAAGTGATAGTTTTTCATTGGGTGTCAAATACTCATCCTCAAGTATCCCAAGTGGATGAAACATCTGAATTATGCCCCGCCCTTTAGTAAATTGGTTTATGCACATAGAGGTTACACTGTACCAAAAAAATTTTTGCTACTCATGTTGCCTTAATTTAGTCTGCTTTGCAGATCTTGGCTCTCCCAGACCATGTAAGAGTACTGGATTTGGATGCAGGGCAAAGGCCTGCCCGACTGGATACAAATTGAATGAAGGCATTACAAAGCTTTTGTAACTCTAAGGCTTTATTCAGATTTGAGCATTTTACTAAGTGCTACCACAAAGCACATAACTAAGTGTTGTGTATGTGTGTGGTGATATTCATTTTGTTTGCCAGCCCATTATATCAAGTAAGCACATTAACGTTTTAGCAAACCGCAATGAACAGATGTAGCCTAAGGTGGAAAAAAAAAATAGTACAGGCCTGTTAAAACCTAAATGAATAAATGGGCTATCACAATGCACATCAACAAGCATGAGTTAAGGCACTGAGAGAAAAAAAAAAAAAATCGGACTAGGCCCTTTCAGAGATTGTATGGTCAGGCATTTATGTATATGGCCAGCATAAGAAAATGGAGTATATTTAGATGTATACTATTCAAATATAAATAATTTGTGAGTTTTATATGCATAACCTAAAGATTCAGCTTTAATATGTACCAGAACCACACATCATAATCAAAAGGCGTGCATGTTAGACAGTCATGTGGTTTAGCCAGGACCTCGCCTAACAAACCATTCCCAGTATCAGAATTTTGGGATTATAGCCTGCACATCTAAAAATATATAATTTAAAAGTAATTAGAAAACAGGTTCCATGTTTCTAACACAATTCAAGTCCTTATGATGAGCTGCTAATGACTTGACTCAGCAATCCTTACTAAAGCTGTTGTGCTATCTGTAAATGTAACCTGGTTACATAATGGATCTTCTAACAGGCAGAGTTTAAATGAAACCAGAAGAGCAGAAAAATGTACCTGAGACAGCATCATAGAATTCATCCTCGCTGAGAATACTGTGGTGTGGAGGTGTTCCTTTAACAAGAGACTGTTCTAATTCGTGGTGTTCAGTAGCCAACGTCTGTAAAGCCTCTGATAAGATCTTATTTTTCTCTTGCTCGTGTTCTAGTTTCAGATTTCTCACCTAAAAAGGAAAGAACATTCCTGTGTCAGTTCACTACCTGTAAGGTAAATGAAGGTGACAAATGGAAATTGAAGAAATTTGTGAAGATAAAAAAAAAAGGGAAACGTAAGCAAGCAGAAAAATCTATTAAGTGGATGCAGTGAAATAGAAATGAAAATTCACAATTCACCCATGCACTGGTGACTTATGTTATAGTAAAATTAAAGCAAAAATGTCACCATGTGTTTTGATTTGGCACAATAATCCACATACCATGTCATTACATGTCATTCTTATTATTGTGAATAACATATCAACAAATATAACTACATACCTAAACAACTTCCCAACATTAGTTCACTACTGCAGTCTGTACACACCCTGCTCCTTGGTTACAGCTGTTCAATATCATGTATCTATGATGTACTACCTTGTGTTGTGGTGTACTTTGCCTCCACTTGCTAGCTTAGCGATCAGTTTGTCTTGGAATGGATAACTACTTTAACATTTAACTTCATATTATGACTGAAAAGTTAACCTAAGCTACAGTTTTATGACCCCCCAAAACAATCAAGCAAATATCAAAAAGGAAAGAAAATACAGAAATTATGTAGAATTTGGGCTCACATGCTGATGAAATAAAAATGTATATTACATGAAGGTTACGAAACTTCAAAAACATACCACAAAACTACGCTCAAGAAGCTCAGACTTGCTGGGGCTCGATTTCAGTCATCAAGCATTTTGCCCAGGTTGCTTTGTTTCTACACTTCTTCATATGCCACAACAAGCTATGTTATCACACAGAACAAAAAATTCTGATTAAGTCTTACTCTGAAAATGGCCAAAGTTGTTCTCACCAAAGGAACAGATTGCTGAAATTACTCTGTAAAGCATTATCAGAATTTTGGATATATAAACTGATGCTTTACATTAACTCAGAGGAGCTTTAAAAAGTGAACTCCTAACTCGGATGAAAGTATGGAGGAGCTCCAACTCAGTCACCTCCTGGCCTGAGATAAGCCATAACAAAAGTGATCAGAAACACACTTACATCAGCACACAATTACTACCATCTGGATTCTTGCATAGAAAATTACTTTAAATCCCCAAATAAGTATATATTTTCTGAAAGCAGAGGCCCTGTAGTATAAAACAATGGTAGCTGCATTTTTTTTATGTTGCACAATATTTACGCAAATGTTTATTTCAAATCGATACTTAGGGAAAAAACACTTACATAAATTTTAGTGCACAACAAACAATTTAATATACTTTTTTTGTGTAAAATATAAAAGATGGGGCTATATCAATAGATACCAAACATGTCAAAAGATAAAATTGTGCGCATCTGTGCAATAGTGAAAAACTATGGTACTCAAAATTGTTCATAGGCGACACTTTAAAAGCCTTTAAAGTTCATCAAATTTAGAGTTAACAGCAAATTATTGCCTTAGAACTATTGGTGTTCACGGCGATACCAAACGTGTGGCATAATTGTTGTTTACGTACATGTTGATACCCTATTAGACCCCTGATGTCTCACCTGGCCTCCAATAGAGGCAATTGAGCACACAAGCTGATTTTGTGAGAGCTGTGAGCAGGAAGCACCGAGTACAGTGCTTCCTGACTCACTGATCACAGAGCAGATCGCGGAACGGAGGTTTCCCAGTATGCTCTCGCTCTCCATTCTTAATGCATTTTCCATGGTCCCAGGTCCCCCAGAGAAGTGGAGGACCCTAAAAACCACGCGGGGGGGTGGGGGCACCACCTATGCAGGCTGCTACAAGGGATCTGGGCAGCTGTAGAAAACAAGCATCACCTGCTGCAAAACATTATACCAAGATCATGCCTGGAGCAGCAGCCATGATCTTGGTATAAGCACTTCAGGATCAGGACAAATATACACATACGGAGGTCCTGAAGTATTTAAAGTAAAAAAAAGGTCTCAAAAAAAATTAACTGGACATAGTGTTTATTTATGGTGCACCTTCCAAGCAGAAGAAGAACTCTAGTTTTGGTGCAGATAAACGACAACGCGTGCCAATAACCCTCATGCACTATGCTAAATGAAAATTCGCATTGCAAAAGAGAAAATGTATCTAAGTGAATGAGGTGAAGTTCCATTGACTGAAATCCAACATTTTTTTTTTTCATATACCTTGCATATGATCAGATATTCTTTGCAAAGTGATGTTTCACCTCAATCACTAGGGTAAGTCACAATTCACAATTCACTTTTATAGTAAACATGCCCAATCTACTTCTCAAGTAAATCAACTCCACCATTTGGAAGTGTCTACAATGCTATGCAACTTATACATGAAAGAAAACTGAGAGAAGTATGAAACAGACATCTTCAATGTAGAATTGTTCTATTTTTGGCTATGTTGCCCATGAATAAATGACCTCAAGACTGCATTTCAGAAGGTCAGAAGTAACTGTTCTACAGTAGATACAAATGAGAAGACTGCCAGCCAAAACTGGCACTTTGGAAGTGACACATGGGGAATGACAATTATGCAAATTTCCCTAAACTGTAATACGCTCTTCTATCTGGAAAAGGCTTAATAAAGACAGCTGTTTAAAAGGATACAACTTGTACATTTTTATATAAATAAATGCTTTAAAATATATGTAATCCCAACCACTAAAATCGTATATAAGCAACGTGTTAAATTTATTTCAAAAGTAATTTTCAATATTGTTAAATCTGCAGCTTTTATTAAAATAAAACCTGACTATCCTTCTATGAATGTCTGTGTATAAGCACTTCTGGGAGTAGGGTGACACAACCCTCTGTCCCTTTCTCCTAACTGTTGTCACCCTGTCATACGCTCCCTTTATTGAGAATACAAGTGTGAGTGCTGGCAGATATTGCACATGCATGGTGCACTGTTGGCTCCATCAGGAACCCTGCCCTGAGAAACTGAGATCAAATGACTAAAGAATTTGAGAAGATTCACTCAATTAAATGTGTGAAGGATCATGTGAATTATCCAGTCATCTGCAGATGAAATAAGTAAATGGGGATTTTCCTTTTTTTAGGCTTACCATGTGCTGCAGTTGCATACATGCAGATGGGGAGTGACAGCAAAGAGGCTGCAGGGGATCAACAGCACAGACCCTGAAAACTGTTTCCATGTATTTTAAGATGAACAAGTTTTTTGTTATTAAAATTCCTTTACTGTTTCAATCTGCAGCCACCTAAAACGGTCAAAAAAATAAATGCAAAATGGCAACCTTGAAACATTCTGTACAACGTTTTAATGAATGTTCTTCCTTCATGCAACACTTGCTGGTACAGTACTTTGAATTAGCCCTCAGAGCTGTCTTCTACAGGGGAATGCAGATGATGCAGCTTTGCTCATTAGCACAGAGTGCACTAGGTAATTATACCGAGTACATACTCTCCCATTTAGGGAAAGCTCCCATACAAACCTAAGTGTTGTGTTCAGCCTTTTCAAAAGTGCAACAATGCTCAACATGAAGAATTCCATTATTTTCAGAGTGCCCGTTCACACCCGAGTGTTGTATTGCTTGTAGCTCGAAAAAGTACATGTACTTTTTTCAGGCAGAATCACATATTTTTGGCCCCACTTAACCAATAGAAAGCTAGTTGCTAGGAGGAGGGGATGGTTGTTAAGAGAAAATGCTCAAGCCTAAAAACACTTGAAGAGAAAAAAAAAAGGCTTAAAAAAATCACTTGAAAAATCAACACTTAAAGTGTTCATGGGGGCTCAGTCTGGAGAGGACACAGTGAAACAAACAATTTCTTCATAACATGAACATATAAACCCCAAATTCATGATTGAGATACACTTTTAAGTACATCTAAACCCTAACTGTATAACATTTAGTTTGCTTAAGCAGTGTGTTTATTAAATAGAGCAACAGCATCATGCCAATCCTCAAGCAGAGCCATGCCATCAGCTCCATCCCCCAGCAGAGCAGTGCCATCAGCTCCATCCTCCAGCAGAGCAGTGCCATCAGCTCCATCCTCCAGCAGAGCAGTGCCATCAGCTCCATCCCCCAGCTGAGCAGTGCCATCAGCTCCATCATCCAGCAGAGCAGTGCCATCAGCTCCATCCCCCAGCAGAGCAGTGCCATCAGCTCCATCCTCCAGCAGAGCAGTGCCATCAACTCCATCCCCCAGCAGAGCAGTGCCTCTGTGATGGAGCTGATGGCACGCCTCCAGTAGAGCACTGCCATCACCTCCATACTCCAGCACAGCAGTGCCATCAGCTCAGCTTCAGGTTGGAATGTCTGGGGCAATGTACACTGAGTGTACTTGAAACAGGCATATGCAGCTGCTGTATATGAACACACAAACTTTTTTGTTAGCTTTCCTCTTCAGATCCTCATGGGTGGCTGCCTCTGTGTTTTGCAAGCTCTTCCTGAGCTATCCCTCTCATTAGTATTCATAGTGGCAGCCCCCCTCCCTTCCTCCCTTGGGTGGTGTATTTATGTAAAGGCAGAGCTGGTGTTTACTGATCATTTTAGGCGATCCATGAAAACTTCTCTGCAGGGAGGCCTATTCCATCTCGATATAACAGTACTTTTAGATCTTAAACTAATTCATCCCAAACAGGTATTACCTTTTGTATCACTTGCCCCTCCAACTACATTGTAATATCTCACGAGCAGGGCCCTCCTACCTCCTGCACTGAAATTGTGTTGTTAATTGTATTGTCAGTTTTGTAAAGCGCTGTGCAAACTGTTGGCTCTATAGAAATCCTGTATAATAATATCAATAATGATAATGTTACAATGAATAACAGGGAGGGGGGAGAGCTGTTTAAAGCCTAATTACCATCCAACCCTGGTCTCTGACTGATTTTCCTGTGGAGAAAAGTTTGAATTTTTAGGCTTCAGGTCTAATAAAAAGTTAAATAACAAAATGAGGAAAACCAGCAACGTGAGTCATTATCACAATAAATGTTGATCACTTACAAAAGGTGGAAATGGACTTTAAAATCATTTTGACCTTAATCTCACTTTAATTTCATAGCCAGGAAACC